AGCAGGGAAGGGGCCACAAAACTGGGAGTGTGTAGTGGAAATATCTATTCTCACAGACATATAACAGTGGGTGACTCATACTAATGATGGGGTAAAATGAAAGTTTGGATCAGACAACATTGTAATACGGACATATTTTGCCTACATACTGGCTGGGGAATTCTGGGGGTTGAAGTCCACACAACTTAAAGTTGCCAAGGCTGAGAAATATTGCTGTAATACATAAGAGGGGAGTCATAGCAAATTCAGTCTTTTTAAGCTCTGTTAGTTAAGGTTGGGGCTGTTTAAAGTCTACTCTGAAGTTGAAATGTTCAATTCAATGCTCTCATCCTTACTTTTTAAAAATATATATATTTTTAACTTTATAGCAAGAAACCCTTGTCGAGAAAGACCAGCGCAAAAGGGGAAGTCTTGACTTGGAGCCAGGTAATCAGTGAGCAGCCTCCTTCCCCAAAGGCTTAAAATAAATAAGATGGCACAGATTGTGGAGTTTTCTGTGTGTTTTGTTGCAATAATAACATATTGTTAAGTGGGGGAGGTTTCAATTCTTCATATATGCTAACATTTATGCATAGATTAGTTGATTGAGGCCAAACTACATGATGTAAGTTAGATAAAAATCTGAATCTTGTGGCACCTTGAAAACTTAAAAACTATTAATGGCACAGATTGTTCTCCACTTCATTGCCTGAATAAGACATATATAGGCTAAAACAAGGATATCTGTGGTTTCTATGCTTAGAATGAAGAAATAAAATATAAAAGATAGAGATGCTATAGCAGGGATGTCAAACTCATGTGGGAATCTGTTGCCCCCCAAGAGGTTAGCAATCATCAAAAACCAAGATGTTAGCAATTGTTTTTGCTTTAATCATTAATTTCCTTCATTCTTTTATTCCTTTATTTATTCTTTAACATAACCTTGAGTCTTCAGCAATATTAGGTATGTATTCATTATTTGGAAAGGTCAATGGGAGCTAATATGGGGACATTCAGTCAGGACAAAATCCTGCATGCCTTATGTGCTGCTGACCAGTTTCGTAGCATCTACCAGTCTTCTTGCCTTAGCTAATTTTATTTCTTTTTATTGACAAAAAAAAATGACTAGAAAGCCAGCATACTACAAAGCGAAATATCACTCCTATTTCCATCAAGGCCTCTGAACCACACATAGAGCCCAGAGAGGGTTTGACACCCAACTAATTCTGGAGGCCCTGACCAGAAAGCAATCATTATAAATTATTTCTAAAATATATCAATGATTTTATTGCGGTGTTTATACACCACCTTAGTACATAATGTCCACACATACAATGGTAACCCAGAAGGCAGCCTACATATTTATTACAAATGCAATGTATAATTGCTTTTTACAGCCTCCAGAATCCTCTCCAACCACATCTCTGAATTTCAGTGGCTTGATCACAATCGCCAAAACGGTGCAATCCGGTACCCTGCATTGTGACTCAGGAAGCACATAAAACAAGTAGCCATGAGCCTTAAGGAGTACTTCATGCAGGGGAGCTCGGTTCTTACCCTTCTGAATGGCATATTTTCCCACTGTAGTTTTCACCTCGCCCCACAACTAACCGGGTTGGCGTCTAGCCACACTTTACTACCAAATAAGCAGTATGCATAATGCTGTAGCGGAGGCCATCCCATGTCCCACAGAGAACACAATTCTCAGCTTGAACGACACTGTTACTAATCTTGCTATTGACTCGCTCTTGAATGCAAGTTTGTGGTAGACAATCTTTTCATGACTCTGAAGGCCTCTTTTGGGCCACTTTGCCCTTCTATTATTATTAGAGTTGTCCCATCCATCCCATTTTAATCCAGCCTTTAGCAAGAATGGTATTCCCACATCAGGCAAATTTTCCTACAAATCTGAAGATCCTCTTATTTGCCTCAGGTTTACCACCTGCTGCTCCTTCAGGATGCTCAGAACCCTTCCAAAATCATAACCTCATTCTCTGACATAGGCTATGTGGAAAGAGGGTAGAAATGAGACGTTGGATTTCCTATATCCAGCATTTAGTTCAGGGATACACAATTAATTTGGGCAAACCTGACTTTTGCCTCATGTTGATGGGATTGGTGTTTCCCCAAAGTAGGGTCGGGTCAGGACAAAGAAAAGGCCACGCCCAATTAAATGGGCGTAGGCAGAACAATAACTACATTTTATTTAAGTAATATTGAAAAGAATGCAACGTGGACATTATTATGCCCTAGATATTTAATGATTTCCCTCATTACTTATAAATTAAAACTCAGTGTCAACTTTTGCAAGATTTCAAGAGGGCCACATTAAAATTTTTTGAAGATCACATGCTACCTACTCAGATGTGTACATCTTTTAAATCATCATTCAGTCACACTGTTATTTATTCTGTTTCACCTGTTTAAACCCTTTGGGTATTTGTCATTGAGATTCAGCCTGTTTTGGAAAAGTCTGTATGCGTTTGCAGTATAGTAGTCCTTCATCCAGGGCAGTCTCATCCATTAAAACCTTGATTTTCTGTTGTCCAGGGTAACTTTTGGCTTTACAGGATGTAACAATATGGTCTATCTTCCCCTACCGTGTTACTAGTGAAGTACCTTAACTAACAGTCCTATTCCCGATCCTTCCCAATCTGTCTTTTGTCTTCTGTTTTCATTCTATTGAGATGATCCTGACAGTTTAAAAACTTTATCCTCTCCCAGCAAATACTGCAAGTTTATATCTTCATCACATTTTGTTTGATCTTTGTTATGTTCTCTTTAGATTTTTCAAATATTAAATCATGAATAAATTTCTTAACCTGCTTTGTTTTCCCCCTAGTGGTTCCATTTATTTATTTATAAAGCTTCTTAGGGAATCTGTATCAAAACTTCTCCTTCCTTTTTCCTTCCTTTCTTCTTTCCTCTCTTCTCTTCTCTTCTCTTCTCTTCTCTTCTCTTCTCTTCTCTTCTCTTCTCTTCTCTTCTCTTCTC